TGAGAGTCACTTCGCGAGAATTTTACCGTTTCATTTGAGAAAACTAGCATCATCATACTGTATACACACAGAAACTTCATGGCAACCTGTCAAAATAAAAGTACGGTTTAACATGTAACAGAAATATACTGTATTACTTTTGTATTACTTTTGTACAGTATATTGTACATCTTTAACCTTCATTTGATTTTCAGAAAAATTAAAACAAGAATTTCTGAGGGGAAAAAAAAAGAAAAAGATAGAAAGAAAAAGTTTGTAGGGCCCTATTGTTCAAAATTTTGAAATTGAGACTTTTGAACTTATTTTTTCACTGAAATAAATGTTTTTGTAATTACATCATCAACTGTTCGGATACCAACATTTTTCAAAATATCTCCGTTTGTGTTCAACAGAAGAAAGAAACTCATACAGGTTTGGAACAAGTGGAGGGTGAGTAAATGATGACAGAATTTTCATTCTGGAAGTGAACTACTCCTTTAAATGATAAAAATAAATATTACAACCAGATTAATCACTTAATTGTAGAAAAAAATAATAAAATTTTTAGCCTATTAAAAATGTTTTAAAGGAAGATTCACACAATTTTTCTTCAATGTATTAATTTCAACAGTAAACCAGTAAAATTGAAACCAGTTAAATTTTATTTAAAATAAATGTTTAATGCCTTCATTTGATTTTCAGAAAAATTAAAACAAGAATTTCTGAGGGGAAAAAAAAAGAAAAAGATAGAAAGAAAAAGTTTGTAGGGCCCTATTGTTCAAAATTTTGAAATTGAGACTTTTGAACTTATTTTTTCACTGAAATAAATGTTTTTGTAATTACACAGAGAGTAAAGTACCGAAAAAAGGTACCGTTGGTTACTGGCACTGAAATTCAGGTACCGATACCGGTACCATACCAGTTAAAATGTGAACGGTACCCAACCCTAAAGCCCCATTCACACTAGCAGCGACTTTTGTCGCTAAGTACAAACATTTTGGAAGCAAAAGACTAAATATAATCTAAATCTAAATCAAATCCGTACATACAAACAAAAATGAATGAGAAACAGAGCCTACTTTCTTCCATTGCGTATGTTTATCTACGGCGCGAGAGGAGAACGATCACATGAGCTCTACCGTCTTCTTTCCCATTGGCTGTCGCTCCCGAAAGTCGCTCTTCATTTGCATAAAGTTGAAGGATTCTGAACTTGACACGCCCCGTTCCCGTCACCAACGGCCGCTGTCGCTCATGTCGCCGGAAATTGCCAGATCTCCACTGAAATGAATGGGATTGTGTCGCTTTGCTATTGCGTGTCGCTTGTAGTGTGAACGGGGCTTAATAGTCATGCATAGCTGCTAAATTTCATAATGCTGTGGTTTATTAAAGGGTTAGTTCATCCAAAAATGAAAATTAGGCTGTGTTTTACTCACCCCTGATGCATCTTAGGTGTATATGACTTTCTTCTTTCAGACAAATCCAGTCGTACAGGATGCCTTTGTTCACCCCCCGGAGCCGTGTGAGACACTTTTTTTTTAATGGAAAGGTGCTTTTTATTTCACGTATTTTGAACCGAAGCACTGCAACACCCGCTGAGTACAACGATAGAGCTTGAAAGATCAAAGACAATTTTTAATATAACTCCGACTGGATTCGTCTGAAAGAAGAAAGTCATATACACTTAGGATGCATCGGGGGTGAGTAAAAAACAGCCTAATTTTCATTTTCGGGTGAACTAACCCTTTAAGTGGCAGAATTTTCCCTTACTTGACAGTGAATATGTTGACTCACTTTCTCTAGCTTAATTAATCTCTCATGCATTTATAAGGTAAAAATGTAGTACAGGTGGATTTAATTCAGGATTCACCTGCGTTAGGGCGTTACCCGTTTCAGTGCCAGGGTCAGACTCTTGACTAGAGACACTACAGGAATCAGGTGTTGGTTGACCTTTGTCAGGAGGAAAAAGGTGAGTCATTATAATACATATGTAACCTGGCAACCGTGTTTTATAAGAGGAGTGCTGGTATTTCCAACCATAGTCCTGCTCTATGTGACGACGTCACAGAGATCCCTGTGAATGTCACCCAGATAAGGCCGCCTCCCACCGCGGGGCCAAAGGC